GCGTCTCCAGCTGCGACTGGATGCTTTTTAGTACATTTTACCAAGTTGTGCAACCATCACCCTGAATCAGTTTTAGAGCATTTTCATCCCACTGGGATCCCTCACGCCCATTAACTATTAATCCCTGTCCCTGCCCTGGAAACCAGTTATCTACTTTCTGTCTCCGCAGATTTGGCTTATCTGGACATTTCATACAAACGGAACCCTATAATGCGTGGCTTTTAGCATCTGCCTTCTTTCACTTAGCTTCCTGTCTCCATGCATTCATGTGGCGTCATGTTTTATGGACGGAGAATATTCCATTGTATGGATGACCGCGCTTTGTTGATGCAGTCATCAGCGGACGGGCGCAGGGGCCGTTTGCGTTTCTTGACGGTGATGGACACCCACGCGTGAGGAGTGGTTTGCAAGCCCCAGACACAGGTGCTGCTCCCGGCTTGCCAAAGCCCAAGCGGCGCCCCACAGCCTTGACCGCCATGGTCTTTGTGATGCGAGGGAGTCGCTCCTGTCCCTCCTTGAGTCTTCCCACCATTCCAGAGAGGACCTCGAGCACTTTTCTGCATGGACGTCCCATGCCTTGCCCACATTCCTGGGAGAGCAGGGATGTGTGCAGAGGCCACGATCCAGTCTATGGGGTCCCCTGTGATCGCCCACGAGAGAGCCCATGATTTGGATGAGGAGGGCCAGGCTCCAGCTCTCCTGACTCCACCCTGGGGATTCCCCTCTACCCGTCTCCTCTCCCGGAGAGCCAAAGCCCCTCCAGACAGGTGGGCTCGGTCCAGACAGGTGGGCTCCATGAACCACAGCCTCCTCACAGGGAATTTGCGGACAGCCTCTCGGCCCCTGTGCTGGCTCCTGCCTCTGCTCCTTGGGTTCCTGGAGTTCTGCCCAAACCCAGCTGGGCTCAGATCCCAGAAAAGCAGCGGCCCTGTCAGGGCCTGAGCTGGGGCCGGGGAACTGCAGATGGTGGCGGGTCCCTACTCCTGGAATCCATCCCAGAGGCCTTATCAACACTGTCCACCTGAGTTCAAATGCTGTTCCGAGGATGTCTGCTCCCCCAGCCAGTCCCCGGGGTCCACAGACCTAGCCCTGGCCTTCCAGAAGCAACCAGTCCAGGGGTGGGGGACTGGGGGCAGACAGTGTGTCACCAACTAACGATTTTGTCATGATGTATATTAAGTGGCCGTTCCATGGCCAGTGCCCAATTATTACCATCCCCATTTTAGAGAAATGGACATGGAGGTGACTTGTCCGAGGCTGCACAGCTGCAGAGCAGTGACCACAGGACTCAAACCCAAGTCCGAGGCCAGCTTATAAATAAATGTAAATCCACGGAGTCATAAAAACAATGAAAGTTAAGAGCTGCTCTGCCGCGAGCCAAGGGCCTTGCGAACTCTGAATTCTCATTGCAGTGTTGCAGTGACCCCCATCTTGCAGATGGGGAAACTGAGGCGCAGAGGGTTGAACTCTGGTCAGGAAGTTTCCCGGGTGGGAAGTGTGGCCCTGACCCGAGGGCTTCCGTGGGTCTTGTAGGTGGGGGCAGAGATTCCCCCCACCAACCCTGCATTAGGGTACATGCTATTCGATGTGTGTGTGCACAGAGAGGGGGCCCTGATGACACTCCTCACCCAACCCAAGACCCTCCTTTTCTCCTCCCCTAGGCATCCTGGGCTGAGGGGAGAGGGGAGGGAGGACACGTTCTCAGGTACAAAGGGGATTCCCGCCATAGAATAACAGGCCACAAGGACTGCACAATAGCTGGGTGCATAATTCATGTGTCTGTCTGTCAGCAGAACATCAGTTATGGGGCCTCGCCTGGAGCGTCTGGGGGTTAGAAACTGGAGCAGGCTTCCCCTGCCAGCCTCGGGGGAAGCAGGACCTCCCAGCTCTTAAAGGGACAGACTCCCCAGGAACCTGCCCGGCTCCTGCAGGCACCCTCTGGCCTGCAGTCGAGAGTCAGGAGCAGCCCCCGTGCCCCCCCCCCGGGCTCAGCCTACTGTCTGCCCTGTAAGATCTGACGCACTCTGTCCCCCAGCTGGTGAGGGGCGACTGGTGGCATATCGTGGGGTGTCTCAGCCTCGGTACATTTGGGGCTGGATAATTCTTTGCTGTAGGGGCCGTCCTGTGCACGGTAAGACATTTATAGCATCCCTGACCTCCACCCACTCGATGCCAGGAGCACCCCTCTCCCCAGCCGTAACAACCAGACTTCTAAGTGTCAAACAAGGAAACTCGAGGCGGGAGGATCACTTGAGCCCAGGAGTTCGATACCACCCTGGGCAACAGAGCAAGACCTCATCTCTATCAAAAAAATTAACCGAGTGAGCCGGGCTCGGTGGCTCAGCCTGTAATCCCAGTGGATTGCCTGAGCCCACAGGTTCGAGACCAGCTCGGGCAACTTGGCAAGACCTCACTTCTACAATAAATCTAAAATCAGCCGAGTGTGGTGGTGCACGCCTGTAGTCCCAGCTACTCAGGAGACTTAGGCAGAAGGGTCACCTCAGCCCAGGAAGTCGAGGTTGGTGGTAAGCCAGGATTGTGCCACTGCACTCCAGCTTGGGCTACAAGAGTAAGACCCTGAGTCAAAGATGAATAAATCCATACATGATGAATTAGAGTTCGTTGGACAGAGGACACAAGGCTCGGACATGCAGGATTGACCAACAATAGCACGTGGCTAGAAAAGTGTGAAGTTTGGGAACCCGTGGCAGGAGAGGCCAGAGAGAGGGGTCAGAGTCAAAATGAGAGGGACTTGATCACCGTGTGTCCTTATGGGGGGTTTACAGCAGGAGCAGAGAGCTCCCCACCCGCCCACGCAGCAACTGGGCTTTCTTATAGGACACAGCGGAGAGTCTCAGAACAAGGGCCAGAAGCAAAGACCAGCCTGGCCACCCGAGGCTTGGTGGTGTGGGCTGACGGGGAGGTGTGGGCTAAGAGATTTCCCCAGTGGTATGGCGCTGGCACCGATTAGACATTCGCTGTGTGCTGCTGGATGCCATCCTCAGTACTTGGCCTGCATTAGCACATTTCATCTTCAGAGCAGCTCTCTGAAATACTGTTATCATCCCATTTTGCAGGTGAGAAACTGAGGCTTAGAGGTGTTAAATAACTTGCTTGAAGTAAGGAAATGGTAGAGCTGGGGTTTGAACCTGAAACAAGCTGACACCAGAGCCCGAGCTCCTAAGGGCTGCCCTCTGCATCCCGTTCCAATCTTCCCGGGGCCACCCACTCCTTCCCTCTGCTTCTTCCCTTCCTGCTCTGGCTCCTCTTGAAGGTTTAGCTTTCTTTGGTGTTTTTGTGTCATCTCTGTCCCCTTGACTTGGGAGACACTTGCCTGTGGCTTGGGTTTATTGTGGCCATTTTATTCAGGAGTTCACTCTCCCATAACCCACTCTCTCTGGATCCCTCAGCTCCATTTTTTAACCAGGCTGATGGAGCCCAATGTACAGATGGACTCAGCTTGGATTTTCTGTCCAGCCCTGGTCCAATCAGCGGCAGCCAAGGTCCAATGATACAAGTATGGTGACCAGGACCCCACTTCCACCAGGGCAGGGAAAGAGAAAGAGCCAGTCTGCAGAAGGAAGATGTAGGAAGCCCAGTAGACAGGTGAAGGAGTTTCGGTTTTGTCCTGCGGGTCCTGGAGCTTTGTCAAGCTGAGTGTCATGTGACTGGATTTGTGTTTTTGAAGAAAGACCCTCAGAGCAGTGTATTATGTCGACTTGCTTTTCAGCAGATCAACCTCAATTTTTAATTTCAACAAATAGCCATTGAGCCCTTTCTCTGGGTCAAGTCCTCTTCTTGACTAGGGGACTCAGGGGTGGCTAAACCAAGGTCCTTACCCTCCACAAGTTCATAGTTCCAATCAGAGGTTAGCATGGGGACAGGATGCCTGTGACTCCCTGGAAATTACCTGCAAGATCTCGTGTGTTGGGGTATTTTCTAGCAAGAGTCCTTAACTTTCATCTGATTTTTAATGCAGCCTTAAGAGCTCATGCTCTGGGGTCAGACAGACCTGGGTTAAAATTTTGGATCTTCCACTTACTAGCTGGGGAAGCCCAAGTTTCCTCATTTGTTCAATGGAGTTAATAATACTGAAGGGGTTATTGTAAGAATGATGTGAGCCATTGTAAGAATGTAAGAATGATGACGTGCCTAGTACACGGAGAACACTCAGGAAAGGGTAGGTATTGTTGAGATCATGATATCATTGCTGTGACAGCAGCGCCCACCCCATAACAGTTCTGAGCCACTGGTCTGGATCAGAAAGTCAGCAAACCACAGCCCACAGGTCAAATTCAGTTGGCGGCCTGTTTTTGTAAGCAAAGTTTTATTGAAACACAGCTATGCCCATCCATTTTTGTGCTATCCAAAGTTGCGTACATGCTACAGCTGGAGATTCGAGTGGCTGCAACAGACAATGCCTGGGCTTCAAAGCCTCAAATTGGCCAGGCACAGCGGCTCACTCCTACAATCCCAGCACTTTGAGAGGCCAAGGCAGGAGGATTGCTTGAGCCCAGGAGTTCAAGACCAGTCTGGGCAAAATAGCAAGACCTCGTCTCTTCCCCAAAATAAAAAAAACTAGCCAGGCATGGTAGTGCACACCTATAGTCCCAGCTACTCAGGAGGCTGAGGCGGAAGGATCGCCTGAGCCCAGAAGGTCAAGGCTGCAGTGAGCCATTCGATTGTGCCACTGCACTCCAGCCTGGGCAACAGAAGGAGACGCTGACCACCTCTGCCCCAAAGACTCAAATGGTGACTCTGTGGCCCTTTATAGAAAAGACGTGCTGACACCTGGGTTTGCCGATCAGCTTTCAATAATTTCGTTTCCCTGCACCTCAGTTTCCACCTCTGAGCAGTAAGATTTGAATAAGCCATCTTTTAGCTCCGTCAGTCACTCCGTGAAGGTGCTCTGAGCGTTGAGGGCCGCCCCGCAGACCCGGGCGCCGTGATGGCCGCCCCGCCGGAGGCCAGTGACTAAGCCCGCTCTCTTCTCCTCACAGATCCTGGCCATCATCTCCATCATGTTCATCGTCCTGTCCACCATCGCCCTGTCCCTCAACACGCTGCCCGAGCTGCAGAGCCTGGACGAGTTCGGCCAGACCACAGACAACCCCCAGCTGGCCCACGTGGAGGCCGTGTGCATCGCGTGGTTCACCATGGAGTACCTGCTGCGCTTCCTCTCCTCGCCCAAGAAGTGGAAGTTCTTCAAGGGCCCGCTCAACGCCATCGACCTGCTGGCCATCCTGCCGTACTACGTCACCATCTTCCTCACCGAGTCCAACAAGAGCGTGCTGCAGTTCCAGAACGTGCGCCGCGTGGTCCAGATCTTCCGCATCATGCGCATCCTCCGCATCCTCAAGCTGGCCCGCCACTCCACCGGCCTCCAGTCCCTGGGCTTCACCCTGCGGCGGAGCTACAACGAGCTGGGCCTGCTCATCCTCTTCCTGGCCATGGGCATCATGATCTTCTCCAGCCTCGTCTTCTTTGCCGAGAAGGACGAGGACGACACCAAGTTCAAAAGCATCCCGGCCTCCTTCTGGTGGGCCACCATCACCATGACCACCGTGGGGTACGGGGACATCTACCCCAAGACCCTCCTGGGGAAGATCGTGGGCGGCCTCTGCTGCATCGCGGGCGTCCTGGTGATCGCGCTCCCCATCCCCATCATCGTCAACAACTTCTCCGAGTTCTACAAGGAGCAGAAGAGGCAGGAGAAAGCCATCAAGCGGAGAGAGGCCCTGGAGAGGGCCAAGAGGAACGGCAGCATCGTGTCCATGAACATGAAGGACGCCTTCGCCCGGAGCATCGAGATGATGGACATCGTGGTCGAGAAAAACGGGGAGAGCTTGGGTAAGAAGGACAAGGTCCAGGATAACCACTTGTCTCCCAACAAATGGAAGTGGACGAAGAGGACACTGTCCGAAACCAGCTCAAGCAAGTCCTTTGAAACTAAGGAGCAGGGGTCCCCTGAGAAGGCCAGATCGTCTTCTAGTCCTCAGCACCTGAACGTGCAGCAGTTGGAAGACATGTACAACAAGATGGCCAAGACCCAATCCCAGCCCATCCTCAACACCAAGGAGTCAGCCGCACAGAGCAAGCCAAAGGAAGAACTTGAGATGGACAGCATCCCCAGCCCCGTGGCCCCTCTGCCCACGCGCACAGAGGCGGTCATTGACATGCGCAGTATGTCGAGCATCGATAGCTTCATCAGCTGTGCCACAGACTTCCCCGAAGCCACCCGATTCTCCCACAGCCCTCTGACATCCCTCCCCAGCAAGGCGGGGGGCAGCGCGGCCCCCGAGACGGGCTGGCGGGGAGCTCTGGGCGCCAGTGGCGGCAGACTCGTGGAGGCCAACCCCGCCCCTGGTGCCAGCCATCCGTCTGGCTTCTTCATCGAGAGCCCCAAGAGTTCCATGAAGACCAACAACCCCTTGAAGCTCCGAGCACTTAAAGTCAACTTCTTGGAGGGTGAGCCCAGCCCCCTGCTCCCCGTCCTGGGGGTATACCATGACCCTCTGAGGAACCGGGGGGGCGCCGCGGCTGCCGTCGCCGGACTGGAGTGTGCTGCGCTCTTGGACAGGGCCGTGCGCAGCCCGGAGTCCTCCATCTACACCACAGCCAGTGCGAGGACCCCCTCCCGGTCACCCGAGAAACACACAGCAATAGCGTTCAATTTCGAGGCGGGCATCCACCAGTACATTGACGCGGACACAGACGACGAGGGGCAGCTGCTTTACAGCGTGGACTCCAGCCCTCCCAAAAGCCTCCCTGGGAGCACTAGCCCCAAGTTCAGTGTTGGGACGAGATCGGAGAAGAACCACTTCGAAAGCTCCCCCTTGCCCGCCTCCCCTAAGTTCCTACGGCAGAACTGCATTTACTCCGCGGAAGCATTGACTGGAAAAGGTCCCAGTGGGCAGGAAAAGTGCAGACTTGAGAACCACATCGCCCCCGACGTCCGCGTGCTGCCGGGGGGAGGCGCCCACGGGAGCGCCCGGGATCAGAGCATCTGAACTGCCCCGCCGTGGAGGGGACTTTTGGGAGAGGTCAAAGAGTGGGGCTGTTCGGCCAACCTGCCACAGAGCTCTTCTGCATGAACTCCGAAAGAGAAAGGCCCTGCAGCGGCCCCCGGGGGGAATCAGACTCCTGAGCAAGCTCCCTGAGACCCTGGGAGCCATGGAGTTGGCCAAGCCGCGGGGCACAGCACTTCCTCGTGACGACTCGACCTCCCTCTTGGGGAGATGGCATGAGCAGAACTCACAGCCGCCGCCACCGTTCCAGACATAGCCGTGGCCACCTCCTCCCCGTTCCTCCCTAGGGCTTTCCATCCCAGCCTCTGAGGACGGCGTTTCCGGGCCTCAGAAGGATGCTGGAGCACGTGGCTGGTGGTGAAAGGGCATTTGGACTCACGTGGTACTGGGTGCTGCCCGGCCACCCCTAGGAACACCGGTCCATTGCCTCCTGGACGGATCCCACTGCTGGGAGGCTGCAGGGATTGCTTGTGTCATGGGGGCGTCTCCGCGCCATAAGCCACGATTCCAGCGCGAAACTCTTCCTCGGTTGTCTTCATGGACCAGTATTCCGTAAAACCTGAGATTTTGTTTTGAGATGCCATCAGGGTGAGTCGCGCCACTTGTACTCAATTCTAATTGCCCCCTGGCGATCTGGGAAGGGTTCAGACGGTGGGCACCCGGCCAACCGTGTGAGCTCAGAGAGAGCATGGATTTAGGGTTACAGGAGGAAATGCTTTCTGTACATCGCTAGTGTAGACTCAACAGATATGCAAGTGTCAAATATGCAAAAGTAATAGTTTATTCCAAGAGACTGTGTGTTGCTGAAGAACAGTATAAAAATCTGATTTTTTTTTAACCTGCAAAAATGAAAGGGAAAAAAATACCCCTAAATGAAATGCCCAGTTCAGACTTTGAATACTTCCTGCTTGGCAAGGAAAGTACCTGCTATAATAGAATTTCTTTTTTGTTTCCTGTGGTTTTCAAGCTAAAAAAAAAAAAGTTAAAATAAAAAGCACTTTATGTTTCTCAAAAATAAGTTCTACCAGGGACAGTGTCGACATCTTGCACTTTTAAAACAAGCTCTCGTTCCCGTGGGCTGCTTGTTGGGACTGTAGCTGGCTTGTTGCAACCGGCCTGTTTCCGGCCATGGTGGGGGATCCTCTGCTGGGAACATGTCGGCCACGTCGCAGCCTGTGGGCTCCTCCCTGCCCCTCGAAGCTTCCCCTGGACCCTCGTGGGTCAGCAGGAGTCCCTGGCCTTCCAGTGGGGCCTCTCACGACGTCAAGTGTACAGGAGACATGCACATCTCGGAAGGACGCGGTGACAGTTGGACATTGGGTGTTTTACTCTGTCCTCTTTCTTGTCCACCAGCCGTTGGTGTGTTTTCAGTGTCACTGTCTGTACTAAAAGTTCAACTCTCCTTCCTGCAGCCATCAATGCAGCCGGTACAGACAAAAGCAATAAGTATCTGTGTGCATCGCGAGCAGTTCCGGTGTTTTTCTTGGCGTTGGTCTTTCTGTCCTAGTTTGACGACCTGGCATTGTCCTGCCTGCTTTTAACCTAGCAGCATGGTGTTGTTAGCCATTCCTCAGTACCGTGACATTGGGCTGAACCACGGATTCATACAATGCTATGGTGTTGGCTCATCTGTCAGTAAGATGACATGTTATCGGTCTGCCTGTCTCTAGTACGATGGCACAATGTTGTCCCCTTAATATAACAGTGATGGATGATGTCCCAAGTACAGGAGTGTAGGTCTGCTATCCTCAAGACAGTAATAGGCATATGTCTTCCTGATGGAACAAAGATGCGGTGTCGGTTCACCTCTTCTTAATATAATCTGTGCTGGTCTGCCTGTTAGTACAGCGGCATGATCCACCTGTCAGGCCACCAAGATCATGGAATTGTCTGCCCGCCCTCCGTCCAGTGGTGTGAGGTGGGGCCGCCTGCCAGGGTATGATGACATGGGGTCATTCCACCACCCTTAAAAACACGTAGTCTGTGCTGCACACGAACACCATTCATACCACTTCTCAGCCTCTCCAGGGACTGTGAACCCCCGCACAAGAGGGTGCAGTATTGTTCTTTGCTGTGTTAACAAAGAAAATGAGAACTTGACCCTTCCTAGGTATCTCCAGAGTGTCCGCGCAGCTGAAGCCAAGGAACTTAGGGTCAGGGAGGGCGTGAGACGTCCTGTGCCAGGGGGCACACCAGAGAGAGGACACGGTGGCACCTCCGAAGTACTTTGCCAAGCACACAGTCTGGGCCCGGGGCCTCTTGAGGGATGACTGTGACACAGCTCTCCGCCAGCTATCTCACGTGTCTCTTCCGTTTTCATCACCATTAAACGTCCACCATCAGCACAAATGTGAAAATTCAGGGAAAACAAACACATGCTTTTTGATAAAAGTAAACAGTTGTGATTTCCGATTCAGATATTTTTAGAGCTGATGCTATCTGTAAAAATTAATGATGATAATAATAATAATATAGTCTATTTTACATATCAGGAAAGTGAACATGTTTAAATATAGCCATATATATCGAGAAGGAACTTACCACCCCTTCTTCAAATCAAGGCATTTCATTTGTCGGTTAAAGCAGAGAGACGTGTCCAGATTGGAAATGATTTTTCTTTCTTTTTCTTTCTTTCTTTTTTTTTTTTTGAAACTAATAACCAATTGGTGCAGCTCTTCTCGTAACCAAAGGCCCTTTCTGCCTTGTGTGGTCACGTAGGACCTGGCCCTTCCCTCCCTGTGTGTTTTGTCTGACCTTAAAGTAGCATTTTATTGAGTCACTTTTGAAGGCCTAATTCAGAAGTATCATTAAGAACCTACCTGTTCCGGCGTCACAGCCAGAGTCCTATAGAGTTCTTATAGAAACAGAATAATTGAAATTCAGCATATACTATGCTTAGAAAGTATTCCGTTTGAGTTTGGGTTGTTCTGTTCTGTTTTGGTTTTCTCTTTCATTTGTGTGTGTATGTATTGTGGGAATATGGCTTTTCCTCTGTGCGCGATTCAAAATAGAATATTGCAAAGTTTTCCCAGCCCCTCCCCCACCCGCCCAAGAGGAACAAGCCCAGATTTTAACACACGTACACCCAACCTGTACCTGCGTACTTGGGTGGACATGCACTGGGAAATCTACCTGAGGGACTCCACAGAGAAGTTGACTCAATAGACAGCCTTGGGAGAGCAGACAAACGTGGCGGTTTGGAGGCACGTGCGGCTTTAACTCGGTGGCTCCATTTCCCACTCACCCCTGAACCCATGTGAGCAGGAAGACACAAGTGAGCCCACACCGAGGGAACGAGGGGCTGGAGGTGCACAGATGCCGGGCGCCGTGGCGAATTTCGTGAAACTCTTCGAGAGCCCAGCTGAACTTGAGTTCCGACTTCCACCATTGCCAGAAAGGGCTAAGGACCAGGTAGCTCCGTGTCCCGATCACACAAGGGAGAATCTGTGACCAGCGCTGGGAGAGCGGGGTAAGCCCTGGAGGAGATCATTCATTCACCTTTTTATCTTGGGGTAAAAGAAAACAACAAGACTTTGGTGCAGTAGATTTCTCAGTGCCTTCTTTAGGAATTCTATCTTAAGCACACTTTAAGGGGAAGGAAAAAAAGAGAGAGAACATTTGTTCCCATGAAGTCCCTTTCTCAAAACAATTTGGGGATCGAGAAGGAAGAAGAAAAGTAAGACGGAAAAACAACAGAACCGGGAGCAGGCCACTTCCTTCCAACCCGCCCCGCTCACCCCTGAGAATTGCTGGTGATACAAGCCTTCCCAGATGAACTCCCAACTTCTCCACCGTGTCTTGGTCACCGTAGCCTCGTCTCTGCCCTTTCTCCTAATAAGATCCAAGTTTCTAAGGAGAAAAAAAACAGTATTCTCTTCTGTAAACTGTAATGTATTGTTGATATTTGTAACTATTGTATATTTCTGTCTTGCTCTAGTCACGGCTGGAGTGTCGAGCCCATGGACGAGGGAATATTTAAAATTCACACGGACAAGGGCCACAAAAGCCAGGTCTGTCTGTCTCTCTCTCTCTCTCTCTCTCTCTCTCTCTCTCTCTCTCCTTTTCTTATTTCTCTGCCAACTAGTCTCAAGTCACATAACCCCAGGCTTTTTTTCAGCCTCAAGTCCAGTAACTTTGAATCAAAGGAGGACACAGCAAAAGCTCCCAGAACTTGCTCCTTCGGGAAAGGACTTTTTCTGTAGCTATGAAGCGGGCAGGAGGAAGACGGGGACTCCCCTGAGACCCCAGCAGGACAATGGAACTCTCCCAGCCCCGAGCTGACATTTCCCTCCCATCACCGCTTATAGGACGGCATCCAACGCTTTCACGTCACTCCACCTGGGCCACCCAAACCAACCCTGGCTACACCCAGAAATAAGAGTTACCTCTGTACTTTGTGTTGCCATTTTTCTGGCTCTAGAAGTATCTGATGTGCGACTACGTCGCAGGATGTCTGTACATCTCAGAGTAGTCTATTTTTCTGTTCAGATAAAAATATATATATATATATGTATTTTTAGCAAATTTATAATAGGGCAACTGAGTCTAATTTCTCCTTTTGTAATACAGATGACTATCTTAGGAGTTTCATGTTGGTCGTTATCGTAGCTGATATTTTCTGGTCTTTTTCCTGTTCTTTCATCCTCTCCTGGGCTGTTTCCTTTTCTTCATGCTGATTCTGATTTCTTGGGGCGGGGAAAGACTCTGGGGTCTGACTTCCTCGTGTGGGTCTCTCCTGTCACTAGGCCTAGTGTCTGCCAACGCCACTTCTTTCCTCATTCATTCTGTGCGTTTCTCCAATTCATTGTTCTTGAGAATTCAGGGCATGAATGCGGGAGCGAAACCAAGGGGGAGCAGAGCTGCAGATGGCCCTCAAAATCAGGCTGGAGTGTGGGCTGGCTTCACTCTCATCCCACGCCCCTCCCGGGATCTGAAGGGACGAGTTTTCTCGTCCCCAGAGATCTTGGATCCAAACATCTCATGCAAGCATACTGCTCACTGGTGTTTCTGAGATCAGAACACATGTAAGTCCCTCTCGGCTGGGCTGTTCCTGGGGCCGGCCCTCTGTAGACCTGTGACGTCAGTCAGATCTGAGAAGCTTGGAAGGGCATGCTAGGCTCAGATCTCATCAACTTTTTACCAGTTCTTCATTTCAGTCCATCTCTCCACGGCTTCACCAAAAACCAGTGGCCAGACACCCCTGCGGCTGAGCCCGGAGGGGAGATGTCCCCAGAATCTGTCCACTCCTCTTCTGGCCCCATCCCACCTGCTCAGCTCCGGAGAGCAGGAGACTGGCAGAGACAGTGGAACTCTTCACCTGTCCGAGCCTTGGGGAGTTTCTGGACTGTCCCAATCATTAACTTCACGAGGCGGTTTTCAGCCTTGGATGGGCAGAGGGTCTCTCGCTAAGCAGGATCTTCAGCAGAAAGTGATTCTCCGTCACCTCATGTGGGAAGATGAGGAAAGGGCAGCTGATCTCCACCTTGCTGCCTGGGGGTTTCAAGGGTCCCTGTTGGCTGTGGGCTGTGGGCTCTGCCCAGAATCAAAGATCTGAGCCAGACCAGGACCCCCAGATGGCAGTGAGCCTTCCCACTGGACGTCACCCAAGGGGAAGCCCACCCAAACACAAATTCATTATTCTTATCAAAGTTCCCCTGCCCCAAATTCCTGGTAATCTGGTTTAAACCAGAAACAAATAAAACAGACAAGATTTTTTTTTAACTTGTTCACAAGGGCAGCAACAACAACAAAAATTGTCTCCCAGAGTTTCCCAGGTCTGGTGCCCAGATAAGCAGACACCCCTGCCTGTGGCTGTTTCCATCGAGAAAGAGGTTATCTAGTTGGGGCTTCCATCCATTGTCCCTGATTTTAATCGTCTCCTGGCATTTCTCCTGAACGTCTCCAAATGCCAGCTTGAATTTGGAAGGGGCTCTTCTCCTCCAACCCTCACTCTCCTATTCCTCCCTCCAAAGAGTCTGAAAAGACTTCCTAAAGGCCGGCCAGGATGGGGTGGCGGGGGGGCAGCGCCCCTGAAGAGGAAGACCCCCGGCTGCCGAGGGTTGCGGGCACGTCTCTCAGAGTTTCTTTTGCATGAGAGGGACAAGGCGGTCAGGTTCAGTACATATGAAGGAAGCCCTTCTGATGGGCAGGGTTGTGGGACCACGGCCCCATGCCCTGGAGGGTCCTGAGCTCCCTATGTCGCAAGTGTTTAAGGAGAGGCTGGATAGTGCACAAAATGGCGTGGCTGAGGGGTCCTGCCATGGTGTGGAGACGGGGTTGAACGATGGAAACTTGCCTTCTGCGTTTCTTGGTGTGCGTGTGTGCATGTGTGTTTGTGTGTGGGGGGGGGTTGAACTTTCTTCGCCCAGGCTCAAGCCCCTGAGGCAAAAGCATGTAGCACAATGAGCAGGAATGCAACTTAAGGCTTTGGAGCTGTAGGAGGGGATGACCAGGAAGCAAGGGGATGATAGGACTCCCTGCTTCCTCCTGGCTTCCTGTCTTGAAAAATTTTAATGATGCTCTCAGCCACCCCATCCAGCCTATCCCCAGTGGCCTAACAGACACCACACCAGGTTGAGACTCGTGCCACCCTGCCCCAGACCAGCCAAGGAGCAACCCACGAGGTCCCCCGCCCCTGGCTGGCCGTCTCACGGTGCTTCTGCCCTTCCACCCAGCCCTGTGCCCACAAGGCTTTCCATACAAAAGGCGTAACTATCTGTCACCTACTAGCTGCCCCCCCCCCCCAGGGAACACCTGTCCAGGTGATAGCAAATGGCACCATCCCAAAGGGACTTTTTATTCTGGGAAACAAAGCAGGAGATCGCTTTCGAGAACCTGGGAAGTCCCCACCCATGAAGTAGATCCAGAAAGACCAAAGGAGAGAGACAGCCTCCACCCGGTTCCACAGCAGAGCAAGACTTTGGCCGCCTCCAGGCTGGACTCCCACTCTCCTGTGGCCTTCTTCCCAGGTCAGCCCGGACCCTGCGTTCTCCAAGGGAAGCATCTGACGGCAGAGATTTGGGGATGGTGGGTTTGGAGGAGGCGGGGCGACCACCTCAGCATGAACCCAAGTCCAGGTGGTCTCAGATGGTTTCCTTACAAAGTTGGACAGGATGGTGCATGCAGATGGGTAGATGGAGCAGCTGCCCAACTCCAAAATCAGAACCAAACAAAAGCCAGTCTCCAAGATCCACCCCTGTCCCCTTGAGGCTCTGCCCTGCAGAAATAGCCCAAGTTGCTGTTAACACAAGGCCGCAATCATAGAACGGTTCACACAAATGTAGGGAACTCCCAAGTCTGTCCCTGTAGGGCCATACAGGGATCACTCCCTGCTGCCTGCTGCCTTGAACTGAACAGATTTGGAAAAAAGATGCCCGAGAACTCCAACTTCTCCACGGCCTGGCTCACGCTGGGAGCTTCACCAGGGCTTGGGGCTCCCTCTCAGAGGAGCTAGACATCTAAGTGCTGGGTGTGCCCTCAGGGGTGGGGACAGGGACGGTCATCAGCCCCCAGGCTGGGCAGCTGGTGCCTTTGTTCTCTAGATCTATCTTGACTTCAGTCCAAAGGGAAGGGCTGGAAACCCCATTTTCTCTGAGAACTCAAGGTTATCCCCAACATATGCCCTTGACGGATAGTGGTCACCCAGCCTGTGTTCTTCTGAGCGAGTGATGTGCGAATGATTGACCTGAGTGAGTGATTGGGGAGTGAATGTATGGGTGAATAGGGGAGTTGGTGAGTTTCTACCTAACTGGGAAGGGGCAGAAATGGGGGGCCGTCTCCCACTGAAGCCCATAACTGTCCCTCCATGCCATCCGTTCTTTGACTCAACCAGGGCCAAGGTGATGTCCAAATTTGAAGCTTGCAGGCCCCAGGCTGAGAAGGGCCACAGCCCTCTCAGAGACACTTCCAGGGGCCCCATGGGGCAGCCTGGCCTCCTGCTTTTGTATTTCTCGGCCTTATGTTCTAGTTAGGCTCACACATAGCCCACAGGGAGACCACCAAGTGGTTTTCCAGCGGCCTAAGCCAAGCGTCTGAAGTCAGGGTTTCCCCTGGTATGGGACGTGCCGGGGCAGGAATGTGGGAGCCGACATCTGGAAACTGGATTGCATTCCCTGAGCCGCAGGAGTCTGGCTGGGACGAAAACCAGCCTGTCCTCCAGCCCTGAGAGCCAATGGCCTCCTTCCTGAGCCCCAAGCCTGCCATGATAGCATGCACCCAGACACCATCAGCTCAGACTCTGTCTCTCCCAGGAATGCATGGTGTGAGGTAGGGCTTTACTGCCAGCAAAGCCAGGATGATCACCCCACCCTTGATGGGGCCAAGCCAATCACATTAGCCATAAATGACCAATGTCCTAATCCGCTCTTTTCTCGGGGCGTGTTCATGGGTCCTGTTCATCTCTAGTCAGTTGACGTCTCTAGTCCTTCCTATAAAAGTGAAAACGAGCATTGCGCATATGCGTGCAAACACACACACGCACACACACACACGGAAACCAAACAACAAAAAATCCCAGTGTCTTTTTATGCATGTGGTGAGATGAAATTGTGATCCTTGTGTGACCTCCAGCTGCTGTCCTGTCTTGTAAAATATGTCCAAATGTTTAAGAATTTCTAAGCAAATGGTCCCTTAAGAAGTCTGCAGAGTTCAATAAAAGGTCTGGAGAAAACAAGCTTAGTGGCTTTTGTTTTATTTTCTGGAGGGCACAGGGAGGTGAGGTGTGAAGGGCTGTAAAGGGGGCTTGAATCTGGGAGCCCGGGGACCTGGAAGGGCAGCAATGCCTTTTTCTCTTCCCCTGGAAGAGGAAGGGCATAAAAATGCAACTGGCGTGTCACTGCCGATCAGTGCCGCATTCATGGATCAAAGCCCCAACTCTGATCATTTGGTTCTCATGCCACCTATGCCTGGGTGTCCCTCACTTATCAAAATGTCTCATGTTAGGATAAGCTCAAATGCCGACAGGTGCTAAGCAGGTAACATAAATGAGTAAAGCAACTTAGCTAAGGGACATAAGGGAATGGTGGTGAGTGTGGCAAACAGGAGAACACACACCATGTCTAGAGGGGTGGACGCTATTCATCTCCAGCAGGTTGTTAGCCCGCAGGGGTTCAGGCCCAGCAATACCAGATCTTTTTAAGAGCTGTCAGAAATCTGGATTTTTATGGGAAATATCTGAACTTTTAAGTGTTAGCAACGAATTCCAAATTTTTAGCCCTGCACTGGCCAAACGAAACACATCTATGGACAAACCACAGTCCCAGGCAACCCTTTTGTGGTCTCTGCTTTGGCTGATAGTAGGCATCAATTTCTGTGTACATTATCTATTGCTGAGTAGCAAATCGTCCCCAAATTAACAACCCGAAGCTTATTATCCCATTACTTTTGAGGGTCAGGAATTCAGGAGCACCTTTAGCTGGGTGGTTGTGGCTGGGGATTTCTCATAAGGTTGCAATCAAGACCCTGGCTTGACTGGGATGGGAGATCAGCTTCCAAGGTGGCTCGGGACAGCTTTGTTCCTTGTGGCTATTGGTGGCAGGCCTCAGCTGTTCGCCATGCAGACCTCTCCACGGGGCTCTTGACCATCCTCACAGCCTGGAAGCCGGCTTCCCCAGAGCGAGAGTTCCGAGAGAGGGAGAGGAGGGCAGACACCGCAGAGCCTCTTGCCACCCAGTCTTGTAAGTCGGACACCGTCGCTTCCACCAAATTCTGTTTGTTAGCAGCAAGTCACTGAACCCAGCTCACGTTCAGAGGGGAATTCTATTTCTTCAGGGAAAAGGACCAAAGATTTGGTGACCATATTTTAGTTTGGTGACATTTCATGCCGAGACGGAGTTGAGGCTGATCTCACCCTCCTAAGTGGATTAACGCAGGAACAGAAAACCAAATGCCGCATGTTCTCACTTATAAGTGGGAGCTGAACACTGGGTGCAGCCAGTCATGAAGAGAGGGACCGTGGACACTGGGACCCCTAAGGAGGGGGAGGGAGGCGGACAAGTGTTGAAACACTACACCTTGGGTTCTACGTTCACTCTCTGGGTGGTGTGTAGATTAGCCGGGCTCGGTGCTTCAACCTATAATCCCGCGCCTTGGGAGGCTGAGGTGAGTGGATTGCCTGAGCCCGCGAGTTCGAGACCCACCTGGGCAGCTTGGTGAGACCTCATCTCTACAATAAATCAAAAAATTAGCCGGACGTGGTAGTGTGTGCCTGTAGTTCCAGCTACTCGGAAGGCGGAGGCGGAAGGATCGCCGGAGCCCAGCAGGTCGAGGCTGCGGTGGCCGGGAGCGGCCACTGCACTCCAGTCTGGGCGACGGAGTGAGACTCCAACTCAAAAAAAAACAACAAAAAAAAAGCAAAATCAAAAACAAAAAGAAGTCCAGACCTCACCATCCCACAGTATCCCCATGCAACAAACCTGTGTGTGCACCCAGAATCTAAAATCTAAAAATACAATAAGATAAAATTAAAGTAACTTTAAAAAGGCCACTACCTTTCAAAGCCCAATTAGTGGAAAGGGTTGTTTCCAGACTTTAGAATTTCATAACCCAAGAAAAGTTTAGATTTGGTTTGGGGAAGGTATAAGCCTGGCTGACATTTTATTTTGCCAGGTTAAGAGGTTGACAAAGTAACCACCATGTCCTAGGTCCATTGCCATCAACTCATAAAACAAAGGATATGTCATGCCCCCCAAATAAAAGGCCATCCTTAAAAACAAAACCACAAAGAAAAAATAAACTTGTTTGTTTTGGCGCTTTTTTTTGAGTTGAGGTCTCCCTCTGTTGCCCAGGCTGGAGTACAGAAGCACAATCACGGCTCACAGCAGCCTTGGCCTCCTGGGCTCAGGTGATCCTTCTGCCTCAGCTTCCTGAGTAGCTAGGGCTACAGATGCATGCCACCATACCCAGCTAGTTTTATTTATTTATTTGTTTGTTTGTGGGTTTTTTGTGGAGACAAGAGGTCTCACTATGTTGTCCAGGCTGGTCTTGAACTCCTGGGCTCAAGCCATCCTCCCACCTCAGCCTCCCAATGTGCTGGGATTACAGGTGTGAGCCACCATGCCCAGCCTGTTTTTTCATCAGAGCTTCTCAACCTGCAGCACCACTGGCATGCTGGGACTGGATCACGCCCTGGTGTCTTGTGCAGGAGTTTTATCAGCATCCCTCTCTCCACTAATCCCTAGCAGCACCCCTCCTACCCCATTGCAACCAAAATGTCTCCAGACTCTGCCAGCAGTCCCGGGGGGGGGGGGGGGGGGGGAAAA